GGGAAGCGCCGCGGGTCCGGCCCGGGTCCTCCGCCGCTTTGCTCCCCGTCTCCCTGGTCTGTTTGATCCCCCAGCAGACCAGGGAGATGGGGAGCAGCTTTTCTCGCCCCGGAGGAGGCGGGCGGCAGGACCAGGCGTCCCGCCGCTCCAGTCCTCCGGGGCAAGAAAATCCCCGTTCGTAACTGCGGATCCGACATACGTCGGATCCGCGTAACTTGGGGACTGCCTGTATCTTGCAAACCTAGATCTTGAGCCTGGCTTTTTGGTGTTAATAGAATAATAAATGCACACGTGACCACAAGAAATGAAGCCATTCCAAGTTCTCTTTCACATCCAGCATACTTTTCTCCCTAAGCCAGTGGCTCTATAACTGCTGAAAAAATGATCAATAGTGATCCCTTCACCCAATTAACAAATGTATTAAAGATCAATATGTTAGTGACTGTCAACTCTACTACAAGCAGAGAAGCACAGTAAAATACAGGAATAGCATGGAGACTTAGGAAGAAATACTAAAAAGGAGAGGAGATCTTGAGGCCTTCTCCCACTCAGGCAGAGATATGTAGGGTTGCCAGATGGTTTCAACAAAAATACAGGACACACTTGACATTACATCATAATCTACATTACATCTTATTTAGAAAATACCGGACATTTATATTTTCTCAGTTTGTTTCCTGAACAGAAAGTTCAAATACTGGACTGTCCAGTTCAAAACCAGACACCTGGCAACCCTAGAGATATAATATAGTATACTAAGTGCAAACTTCCAAATTTTTTGAGGGTTAAAAAAACAAAACAAAAACAAAACACACACCAAGAAAACTGGTCTAAATGGGAAGGGTTAAAAACATAGCAGATGACAGCAAAGAATGCCAAAGTTCTGCTGAAGTTCCTTATTTTTTGCCCAAGCCAAGACAAACTCTTAAATCTAATTATCTGAAAGGTTTAAAGGTCTGATTATCTAAAAGTGTTGAGCACCATCCACCAAAAATCATACCTACTGTAACTGTCAAATTGGATGCCTCAAAATGGAGGCATTTCCCTGCCCTATCCCCCCCCCCAAAAAATATCACTGCTCATTTTCAAATACCATGGCTAAAGTTTTCTAATCTGCGTATGAACTGATTCATTTATAGCAACAGCTATGAAAATGCTTGCTTTCACTGAAAGGAATCTGACACTCTCCATCAGCAAACATAAAAGATCCACTTACATAAAACAAATCACTTTCATTCACAAAATTATAGCAGTTTCACATTTTCTTATACACATGAGTGTTTCAATTTTCCTAAAACAAAGTCAGTTTTAAGGAAAGGTAAATAGCAACTTTTTTTAAAAAAAAAGCAAGAGGCACGACAACAAATGTTAAGAAATCAGAATTTAGGACCCACTCCTGCAAAGACTTGTACATGTTAACTTTTACACCTTGGGAGTAGTCCCAGTGAAGTCAATAGGACTACTCATAGTATGTAGGACAGAACACCTGCTTATGTCTTTTAGGATTTTACCTTAACAGTTAAGACAGTCCTTCAATGTATTCAAAAATAAATAAATATATGTCAGCCTATTCCCTCTCCCAATCTCAACATACTGAACATAACTGTCAGAGGTAAACAAGACAAGAGCACTGAACATTCATCCTAGCTAACGGAATTTTAAAGTGAAGCACTGATTTTGCAAGCAGCTTTGCATGAGTCTGCCTGCATGGAGTAGCTTACAGGTACAAGAATATGTATGAAGACCGACCTGGTAAGACAGTTGAACTTTATTCCCAAACATCTAGTTATTATAATGAACAAATAGATACCTTGAGTCGTTTACAATGACATTCTTTAAATTTAGTTTTTAGAATAAAAAACCCCAAACGTTTTATTAAAACTGAGCTTGAACATATGACTCTAAAAATTCCTTCTTTACAAAGTTATGACATAATCAATCACACACCTGAGATATGAGTCTGACTGACATCAAGATCAGGCTGACAAAGTTTGACTGAGGATTCTTGAAGAGCAAGTTGCTGCTGAAAATAGGACAAAAGATCAGCCATCTTGCCATCATCATCACCATCCTCAATGCTGAAGTAAAGAAAAATAAAACATGTCAACATATAGCAATCATGCCAACCTTTTTCTTATTTGATAAGATTTCAGATTTGTACTTTGTAATTCCTTTAAGATTTCTTATCATATGATGATAATTTGCCAAGAAACCTCCCCCCCCCCCCCCCCCCTCTGATTACAACTCTGTCAGCCCCACCTGAAACAAAGTGTTTATAAGAGAGTATGATATTAAGAGAAACATTTCTGTAGTTATTTTTCTTTTAATCCCAAACCAAGCAGTTTCTCTCTCTGGATTTCTATGTTCATCTACAGTAATTGCAACATAATCACTGAAGAACTGTGCTAGTCCATTAGCAGCAAAATATTAAAGCAATTAGTTTATTTTTGTCATCTAACATGAACAACACATACACAATAAAATAGAAGCATTACAAGTGAAAATTAAATAATATTTTATAGAGCTCATTATAGTAATTATTGTAATGATTTACAGGCTCACTTATTTTTTTACATGGATAGTGTCCCTTTGTGACTTTCCTCAGAAACATGTTGATCTTTTAGAAGAAGTGGTTGGATAAAAGGACTTTGGCATGGCAACACTCAGCATTGTGGAAAAATCCCAGAAACAACACTAATCCACAACTCCTGAGTTAGGTACTTGACCTTCAACATAAGGAATAGGAAGAAATAGTGTTTTTAAGTTCAAAAACTTGTCTTTTTCACCTACAGAAGTTGGCCTTGATAATAAATTGAAGTTGATAATAAAAGATATCATCTCACCTACTTTGACTCAGCAAGACACTAGAATGTCATTCTAACTCTCTCTGGCCCAATTATCATTGTTTAATGATTCAGTTAATGTGGAATAAATTCAGTACAGAAGATTGAAGGAGCACCTTATCAGACTACTCCATAGCTCAGTAGTTAAGTAACTCACCTAAAATATAGCAGATCGCTGTTCTAATCCCTTCTCACCCTCAGGAGACAGGATTACAAGAATCAGGAGTTTCACACATCTTGAATGAGTGCCTAATCACTGGGATAAAAGTTGTAAGAGAAGTCCTCCTAGATCCTTTCCCCCATTTTCTGAGAGATCCAATCCAGTTGGCACTCCCTGAGCATGCCCATCAGATTAGGCTGTGTATATGGCTCAGGTGGCTGAACAACTATCTTCTTAGTTTGTAAATCAGAGTGCATACTCAGATTCTAAAGTGTCAGCACTCAGTGAGTTCAGGTGTCTACAGGGTATGGTAGCAGCTGAGTGGGAGTTCTGTGGATCACAGTGGTGCCTAAAAACAAGCCTTAAGAATTTAACTACCTTTGTAGATTGCACCTTAGGAGAAAGGGATAATGAACTCTGTGTAATATGTTTTATTACTGAAACAGATTAAATCTGAGTTCTCTACAACAGGTGCAACCATTCGACACAGGTGTGTACAAGTAGCCACTCAAACAATACCACTCCACCTTGCCTTACTCATGAGGTGCTGCATGGCCTTTAAGATTAATCAGCTCACTGTGAGAACACATAGTTTGTACAGAACTTCCAGATGCTTACTTATTTCTCTTTTGCATGGTTAGTTTAATTGTAACCTGAGGCTATGTCTACACTGTGCATTGTTGTACAACAAGATATGCAAATGAAGCACAGGGATGAATATTGCCATGTCTCATTTCCATACCTAATGAGCCGCCATTTTTCCGGCACGGGCTTTTGTGCAAGAAGGAACTGTCTACACACAAGTGATAGGGAATAGCCAGCATGGGTTTGTGAAGAACAAGTCATGCCAAACTAATCTGATAGCTTTCTTTGATAAGATAACGAGCCTTGTGGATAAGGGAGAAGCGGTGGATGTCATATACCTAGACTTTAGTAAGGCATTTGATACGGTCTCGCATGATATTCTTATTGATAAACTAGGCAAATATAACTTAGATAGGGCCACGATAAGGTGGGTGCATAATTGGCTGGATAACCATAGTCAGAGAGTTGTTGTTAACCTCTAAAAATTTGAAATGTAGGTCAGACCCCTTTGGAAATCTTAGATGTACTCTGTGGACCCCCATGTTGTCCACAGATCACAGTTGAAAAATCACTGTTCTATGGCAACAATGACCTTTTACAGACCCTCATGGACATAGTCTGTGGACGACATGGGTCCACAGGCCTGAAATTGAAAAACACTGGCCTGCACCATTAATGACCCAAGGGAGCCTTATTCTTGAACCTCATTGAAATTTCTTTACATAGTTAAAGAATCTATACTATAAATATTACTGCATCAGAAATAATTTCTGGTAAGTCTTTAAAGTCATTGAGCCAAATTGACTTTAGATACTTGCACACAGCACACTGAATTCAGTGAGAGTTGTACTTGTTAATGTGAAAGCAGGATTTGGACTTTCCTCTTGCGGTATCTATGAGACAATGTATGTGTGCCTGTATCTATAGTGTAGACGCTAAATTCCTTGTATCTTTGTAAAGTAGCCACACTATAAAGCCCTGTATAGACAAAGTGAAAACTGTAGTAGGATACTATGAAGCAACTCCATGGAATATTTGCAATTTCGTAAAAGAAAGGATTTAATGTTCTCCCTTCATTGCTGTACTTTGTAAATTAAATAATCTGGTAATATAAAAATGTATATAGGTACTAGTTCTAGTTATATCTGAGACTAAAAAGCCATTGAAAGTTGTGTTGTGAATGTAATACTATAACCATTTTGAAAGTCTCAGAGAGGTAGCCATGTTAATCTGTAACTAACAAAATTTTAAAAACAACAATGGTCCTGTAGCACCTTAGAGATCCACATGGGTGGATCCTTACAGCTGCTCACAACCCAGCTAAAGTGAAATGTGGGTTCTTCTGCCCACAGATAATATGGCAGGGCTAAGCTGTTAGTGGACTGAGGGCAGATCTACACTGAACCTGGAAGGAAGGCTTAAGGTACACAACTGCAGCTACGCAAAATGCATACTTGGAGTAATCTTACCTTGGAGGGGTTTTTTTGCACAAGAAGAAGCAGTGTAGACAGCTCTTCCTTGCGCAAAAGCCCGTGTTGCAAAAATGGTGGCTCATCAGGTATGCAAATGAGGTACAGCAATATTCATTCCCATGCCTCATTTGCATATCTTATTGCACAACAATGCACAGTGTAGACGTAGCCTGAATGTTTCACAAGGAACTCATGTTCCAGCTAGGCTAGTAAAGGATCTTTAAGGTACTGTAAAAAGAAGACAAAACTCTGTTTTGGACTTCTAAGCCTAAAACTCTAGTAAGAAGTTATGGAGACAGGGCGTGATACTTGATAAAATAGTGTTTATTACTTATCTGGTATTACTGGAAGAGACAGCAACTGTTCCAGACCATTGTTATAGTAGCTTATTATAGTTTATGCTGATGTGACAGAATGTCTACAACTTTTTAGTTTAGAGAGCAAAAATATTAGAGGCATATACTTTACACATGCTACTTTATAAAACAAATAAGAGAGAAGAATATGAGAGCTGGCTCCAGTCCTGGTATCACCTGGAGTTGGGAAAAGGCAATACAAACTATTTAAAGACCACATGGCAATTCATGTACTCTTTAATGGATGGCACTGATTAAAGGAGAGTTGCTTAACTGGGAGGGGAAATAGTAGGAATATATAAGAACTTTATAAAACTATATTCTATAATCTAGTATTTTTCTGACTTTATTGATGTGTGATGTTAAGGGTGGTGCATTCAAACACACAGCTAGTCCTATTACCAGGGATTGGTAACCTGTAGCTCTTCGGCTGTCCCTTCTCCCAGTTGCGCAAGAGCTCTGTTAATGGAGCAGTGCTGTCGCCAAGAGGCCAGCGCAGCCCTGCAGCAGGCAGGGTCTTTGTATGTGGCTCCTGCAAGCAGCATTCCAGTATCTCCCAATTAGCTTGGAATGGGGAACTGTGGCCAACGGGACTGGAGGGAGTTGTGCTGGCAGACAGAGGCTGTGCGTCGAGCCATGTGCCCCCTGCCCCTCACGGTCAGGGGCCACAGGGTGCACTGACCCCTTCTGGGAGCAGCACAGGGCCAGGTCATGCAGGAAGACAGTATTAGGCCCCACTATACCACCAACCAGGAGCTGCCAGCAGTAAGTGCAGTCCAGCGGGAAACTGAATGCCAACCCCCATCCTCTTCCTGAAGCCAGCACTCCACAATCCCCCCTGCATCTCAATCCCTTGCCTTGACCCCTCTCCCAGCACCAGCACCCCGCCCCTGCACCCAATCCTCCACTCTGACTCTCCTCCCAGAGCCAGTACTCTGCACCTTCTCCTATACCCCAGTCCTCAGCCCTGATCCCCTCCCAGAGCTTGCACCTCTTCCTGCACCACAGCCACATGCCCTAACTCCCCCTCCCAGAGCCAACACCTTCTTCTGTACCCATGTCCCCTCTCCGAGAACTTACTATCTTTGTGTATGACTGCAAGTAGCTTTACATGTGATGCAGCTCTCCACATATTTTTGTCAAAGACAAAAACAAAAAAAGGCTCTTCTTGAAAGGTTAAGACCCCGTCCTATACTCTTTATACTTATTTTCCTTTGAGAGTATTAGCTAACTTCTGCAAGCGTACTAGTGCAGAATTTTCTAATATAACAATGTAACTTTCCAGAATCAATATACCAGCATTACTAGCTAAAATAATCCTAACTGGATAACACACAAACCCCAATCTTAGAGTAAAAAGTAATATGGTGGCTTCTCTATTTTTAAATTGCCAGGCAACTATGTTCTGCTCTATTATTTTAATCCCTGAATTTCAGTTTGAATCGACTCCAAACAAATTAAGAATGCTATATCATTGTATTGTTTGGTATAAAATGTCTTCCTAGGCCCATTAAAGGATGTATATAACTTTCTATAACCCTGTCTACTAATTAAATCTAAGTTAAACAAAAAGATGCTTCTCAAACATTAGATGACTATATTACAAACAGATAGGTGACACCTTAAATAATGTCTTTGGATTAGAAACAAAATGTGTAAACTGGTGCATTCCTCTGTTGCTCAATGGTAAACTTGTCATACTTACTAGCTCTTTCCAACACCATCACCCTCTGGAGACCATGTATAGGTGATCTTAAACTCTATATCAGGTACAAGTTGCATGGCTAGACGATAAAACTTGATGGCTGAAAACAAAGGTAATATTTACAACTTGGAACACATTTAATATCTATTATAGTGATCAAAATTGCACTTCTTCTGAGAAATACCTTTAGCTGTAACTAAGGCTGAGAAGGCTCTGTAGCATTACACTTTAAAAAAAATCAAATTTTTCCTAAATCACGAAGCTGCTGATCAGGGTGCCAGACTGAATATTAATCCCTTCCTTATCAGTTGTTTCTTTACTATTAAATTTAACCTACAGTGATTAGAATAAAAATGTCAGTCTTAGTGGGGAAGATGGATAATTTTGGTGCACTTATCATGGCTTGAAAATCCACTTGCTCCTTTTGTGGAGGAAGCTTTCCAAGACACATGCCATTAGTTTCTACATAATTAATTTTCATTCAAAATCTGCTATGGGAGTGCCAGTTAAGGCTTGAAAGTGTGTTTTATACACTTACATTTATAAAAGCTTGATTTTTTTCCAAAAGTGTTGGACACCCAACTTTTACTCACTTCCATAGTACACAAAGTTTCCAGGGCTACGTCTACACTGGCCCCTCTTCCGGAAGGGGCATGTAAATTTCACGAGTCGTCGTAGGGAAATCCGCGGGGGATTTAAATATCCCCCGCGGCATTTAAATAAAAATGTCCGCCGCTTTTTTCCGGCTTTTAAAAAAGCCGGAAAAGAGCGTCTACACTGGCCCCGATCCTCCGGAAAAAGCGCCCTTTTCCGGAGGCTCTTATTCCTACTTTGAAGTAGCGGACATTTTTATTTAAATGCCGCGGGGGATATTTAAATCCCCCGCGGATTTCCCTACGACGACTCGTGAAATTTACATGCCCCTTCCGGAAGAGGGGCCAGTGTAGACGTAGCCTATGTGTTTATGGCAGGAAAGAATTTTCCAAATGTGAACTGAGTGTGAAAGGATGATAGCAGCGCACTGGAAGTCTGCAGACAGATGGCTCCAGTATCGAATGCTTTCAGATCACTCTTTCAGATGCTAATAACTTTATTAAGTAACAGCAGAGTAAAATAGGCTACTATTCCCAACCCTGTAGATATCAGTGACAAGAATCAGGTCAATTTCACTTTACTGCTCACTGCAAGCAGCAGCAGTGAAAGCAGGCACTGGAACTAGTCACTGGGAAGGATCTCTCCTTCCAAAGTACAGAAAAGCAAGCTGAAAGATATATACAGGAGCAGAGATCATCCCAAAATCTTTGCAAGCAGCCAAATGGCTCTGCATGGGATGGGGAACAGAGCTGCATGGGGGAAACATCAGTTTCTAGCATCCAGAGAAAATACTTCTAATTACAGATATTTACTAATAAAAGACTCACATTCAGATGGAGCATCCCTTAATAAGAGTTAGGAAAAGCACCTTAGTATACTAGGAATATGAGATCTGCAATTTTTCTATTAGTGGGGCATGGAGGGAAAAAAGAGATAGCAGGTTTGTTTTTCAAGTGGGTTTTGTTTTTAAGGAGTTAGGCCCAACTGTATAAAGGGAGCATGCTAGCAGAGTGACACTTAAATTAGCCAACAGGAAATGCCAATAAGAGAGGTGTCCTAGGTCCCACCCTACCCTTCTCAGATAAGTACCTCAATCCAGGTGGCAGGGAAGCACCTAACTCTGCTTGTGATCCACCACTAGGAACCCTTCCTCTTTGAGTCAGATAGCTTATTTCTTGTAAGAACAAATGAGGTGTCTGCCTCATTCCAGATAAAATAGCTGAAGGAGAAGGTGCTGCTGCACTTTATAACTTCTAGCCCAGTGGTTATTGCACTCATTGTGAATGTGGGAAACCTATTCAATTTCCCCCTCTGCAGGGTGGTGGGGGGGGAGGAAGATTTGAAAAGGGGTCTCCTACCTCTCAGAAGAATGTTCTAACCATTGAGATATGGGGTATTCTGATATGGAGCTCTCTCAATTGTTCCCACTGAAGTTGTTTCACTTTAAACAAATCATTATGTAGGGATAATATATTAATGTATTGAAAATGATTCCCCCAAATGGAAGTAACTCCCCATAATTTGTTCCCCACAACTTAAAGTGTTTAGATTTATTAATTCTTATTCTTCTTATCATTATTATTTAAGTTTGTTAAATGTTTAGATTTATCATTATTATTGACCCTTTAGAATATAATGTATTAGGTAATGTAACTGTTAAGAATATAATCCTATGTAGCCAGAAACAGCCCCTCTCTCCCCCCGTGTCCCAGGACATGCTCAAGCTTGTGCAAGGGGCTGCTTGAAATTGACATTGCAGAGATACATTGTAACAATGCATTGTCAAGCCACTAACTCTGCTATGGGAGCCAAGCCCTGTAATTGACTAAGGGCATTGTTACATAATTGACGCCTGTTCTCTTTAAAACATTGTAACTTTACTCAGCATTCAGAGAATGTTTTAAGCAATACCACCCAGAAACTTTTGTTAACTACAACTTTTATTATTATACAAAATACTGTATGAATGTATGAGAGAGTGCTTGGACGATGAATGAATGGTTCTGAGAGGTGCCAGCCTGAGAATACAGCAACAAAGGGCTGAAGAAGGCGTCAGGTGCCAGTGCAACCAAAAGGTGTCAAGTGCAGAAAACCAAGTACTGGAGGTCCACCCGATGAAATCACTGACGAGCACCTGGCAGCCACCCTGGAGACATCAGCATGATGCAGCAATTTCCATAGACTGGCATAGGAAGAAATTCCTATAAGAACTGGACTAAAAAACTATGGAATCAGAGTCCAAGGTTCTGCTGCCAGCCCACCAGGAGCTTCAGATGCGCATCTGATCAGGACTTCGCTCCCCACTACCATCACTTGTGTACAGAATACCTGGCCAGTATTCTGTCACAAGCAACTTCCAGGCTGGTAACTATACACAGAACTTGAATGAATAAATGGATGTATGAATGAATGGTCATATATATATATATATGTGTATAAGGGTTAAGTAGTGTTAGGAATAAGTAGTTAAACAACGTTGTTTGCTTCTATCTTTTCTTTATTTTTTATTATTATCTTTACAATAAATGTGGCTTTTTGCCTTATCCCCCTCATAAGATCCTGCTTGCTTTTATTTGGTACAACAATTAGTCTCTGGACTAGGGAGATGGAAACATGGGTTTTCACACCTCCCTGGTGGTTGCTCTAACATCAGGTTATGAAGTTATTTGCTCTCTTTCATACTCTATGCCCCTGATTTTGTATGGGACCCAATCCCATAGATGGCCTCTGAACATACCAACTGGATCAGACCTTATGGGTAAACCAGGTGCTCCTCTATGTATCTTCCCACACTTTGCGGGTCACAGTGGGGTTCAGGTATATGGTAAGACCTAGTCTGAGGCAGCAATGTACATATCCAGATGCAGGAACTTAGGTGCACAGGTTTCTATGGATTGCTATGGCTCTAGGGTTTAGGTGCCTAAGTACCTATGTGGAACCAGGCCCAAAGCCTCTATCTTCTGTATTTCTCTTTACCTAGCGGTTGAGTCCTCTAGTTACTGGGTGTCAGAGCAAATTTCCATGCCCTAGGTAAAAGTGGACAGAAAAGAAAGAGCAGGAAGACTGGGTATGGTGAGACAAAGGGAGAGAGAAAACAAATGAAGGGGAAAAGATAAGGGAATAGAGAGGAAGAATAAGTGTCAGAAGACCTTGAAGACAAAGCTCTCCTTTTCTGTGTTAGTGTTTGTTTATAGGGAGAGCTGGAATGCACCAAGCCACTGACTGACTGACTAGTTAAGTTCAGCATGCATATATTTCACTTGTATCTATTTTAATATTTCTTGAGTAAAGGACCAGGATTGATATAGTTCCACTTCTCTTCAGGGCTTGAGAAAGTGCAAGCCAGAGAAGGAAAAGGCATGTAGGAGAAGGAGAGGAAAAGATTATTATTAAAACAAATGACTAAGGGAGATATGCCAAATATCAGGCATCCTCTGAAGTTTATGGAGAGATCGCAAAAACCTGATTTAGAGTAGACCTGCAGAGCTAGTCTTGATTTTCCTGTGCACTATGCACTCTGGGCTAGAGCCATAAAGTCACTGTGCGGCAATGCTGAGTGTTGCAACATCTAACTTTTAGGTATCCTGCTACCCAGTGTGATCCTTACCCATCAACAGACACCCAGGCTCCGTATACAATATGGCTGCGTCTAGACTGGCATGATTTTGCGCAAATACTTTTAACGAAAAATATGTCAACTATAATTCAATAAGGTTTAATTTAATTCACTAATCCCATACATTTAATTCATCTTAATCTTAAATTTGTTCAAGATTTGTCTTTTGCATGTACCCACTGATCATAGTAAGCATATTTGTGTAATGTCTTCCAGTGATATTGAGAAAATGACAACAGGCAAAAGCGGGCATTTTTAAAGTTTTTTTTTAAATTTGTGTGAACAACATGAGCTCAATGGGTTTGTATGTGCAACTCATATTGTGCCATTACACTAATTTTTCTGGCTCAAGACAGCAGCATTCATTCATATACAGGCAGTCCCCGGGTTACGTACAAGATAGGGACCGTAGGTTTGTTCTTAAGTTGAATTTGTATGCAAGTCAGAACTGAATCTGGACGCCTGGGACAGAGCAGCTGGGGTGCTGCCGGGTAGGTCCCCGCAGCGCCGCACCTCAGCGCTACTGGACCAATCCGGCAACACCCCAGCTGCTCTACCCCAGGCGTCCCCAAGTCAGTCGCTGCTGGAACTGGTCAGCAGCTGATTCCTGGAAGCCCAGGGCCGCGCAGCTCTGCCTCGG